TCGATCAGCACGTAGATTTTTAGGTGATATTGTCAGAATGAGGGGAAACCATTTGGATTTTCGCCTCAACTCATTATCCGATTTGTTCTCGTTATCGGGGATCCTTGAACGCATGCCGACATTTCCCCTCCACCGCTGGCTAAGTGAGTTGGCCATGGGGTGGTCTCAGCGTTTTTTGGACGATAAAGTGAATGTTTGTGGTTCACTACCGGAACCCGTTTGTAAATCTTGACGTCCACCGGTTATCTCTCAGGTGAGATACCTAGCTGGTCCATCTCATGGAGTCGTAGAAGGCAGAGATTGCATTTAAGGCATTGCACACCTTCGCTCCGTGACTCTGAGCTACAAAATTTGTTTTTGTCGACCTCAGTCAATTACCAGTTGTCATCAGTCATTGGCATGAGCCAATTTTCTTAAAATCTGTTAGTTAAGATCCATCGGTGACTGGAGCGAGGTGATAAACTTTCTTTTATACTAACTGACGTTTGTAAAGGTAATTTTAGGTATTCGCTCCAGTATTCTAATCGTGTGAATGATTAATATTTATAAGATTTATTGAATAACATACTGATGTTCAGAGTGATGCTCATCTCGTTAAGGTAAGCAATGAAAAATAAGTCCAAAGACCTAAGTCCAAAGCACTTTCGTTTACAAGTTTCATTGTTCACTACAGGTACGCAACATACTTGTTTTCATTATGGTGTCCATCGGTTTCTTTGTCCATCCATTTTTGAAGCAGACGTCATTCATCTCAGTCGGTTTATGCATCGTAATTTAAGGAAATTTTTCAAACAGCCGGCTTTCCTTCATTGGAGTTGACTTCTCTGATTTTGAGTACTGCCTTTTATTTTTGAGTTGACGCGACCGTTAGTTGTGGTCTTAAACTAATAGCGGGTCTGTTGGTGTGGTTACAGGGGCATGTATCCTTTTTGTGGTTGACATGTTTTAGCAACAGTTTCTTTCGAACCGGTCTTACCGCCTTATGCAACATGAATATTTTTACTGATCTAACCATAATACCGTCACTGTGCTTTTAGTCTGAATTTTACCCTTCGGCCAGTCTCGCATGAGAGACCTTGCCCAGATAAAGCTTCAGTACTGCAGCCACCGACAACCCATTCGGGTACAGTGACGTATGCCAACTCTCTCACAATGTCAGTGTGACATTTACATGGAAGGATGCTGATTCCATTTACACGGATGTATTTTTTACAGTTCATATGTTGAGCGTTCGATTCGAATAACTCCATGATGTGCTTATCCTGTTCGTTTTTTAGTTGAGTACAGGCAGTGACAGTGATGTTACCTTCTGCATATGGTGTGAAGTTGCGGCATCGCCCCCATATCTGTCATCTCCTGGTTACCTTGGCTTTATTACACTCATTCGCTTTTACTCTTTTGAAAAGTCGTAGTGAATACAAGAGTCTATGAAATGAACAAACTCCATAGCTCATCTGATCATACATACACTTTGGACTTCGCTTCTCTCCACGACTTGAAATATTAATGAATACCATATGCGGAATTTCTGTTCTTTGTGCGATTCAGTAATCGGTGACGTATATTGATAGTGTTGTAAAGCTGCTCATGCGACGAAAATTACAAAACATACTTTGCTCCTGCACATCGCTCAAGGTGATGATCACGTAAGAATTTGTCGATCCACTGCTGGATCAAAGCCTCTCCGACACTATGCCATAAACTTCTGTTATCTGCCATTTTCATCGGTCTTGAATCAGCGATATATTTTGTATAGTTAACTGATAAGATTTGATTTGCTGGTTCACAAGAAAGGCGCTGATGTAGTGAATACTGCACAAGACCGATATTTTTCAACTTGGTCCCAAAGACCTTACTGTATGACCAACGGAAGAATTCTCTGATTTGCAGCGGGTTTCTATGACTTTTCATTTTCAACTAACAGTTTTCGCCGTAATCACTCGTAAAAGAACTTATCTCCAACTTTCGTATTCAGCAAAAAATTTCAGTTTTAATAATTCTATTGGTTTTTTTTAGCAACGCATGCGTGAAGAGACAACTCTTGTGTTCGTTTCATCCAGATAAGTCGTCGACCGTGTTTACGACTATGTCCGACGATGTCGAGAGCTGAGGAACTGCTAAACGGATTTAAACTGTACGTTCTTGGCAAACAGCATATGTTAAAGATCGATGCTATTGCAAGGGTGATGTAGGAACTGGATGACGCTGCGAGATGGCGAAACTGGCAAGGTTTTGTGGCAGGGCCATGACGATTTGTCTGTTCCTGGAAGCGAGCATGAAGGTACATTTTAAGCTAGATCTTTACACCATGATTACGAATGATTGAATGTTTAATCACTGCTTAATTGGAATAACCAATAAATTAAATCTCAATTTATTCTCAAAAGCACATCAAGGCTGGAGCAATACGATGCTCTTGTGAAAATAAACAAATTCAAACTGAAGCGAGTAAACATGCGCAAAGGTAAAAGTTAAGTCTCACAGTGAGACAGGTAAAAAATCGCAGACTGACGTATCTACAAATCCAGAAAACGAAGAGTTAGGCAGGGATATACGTGCTTCTGAAATTCAAAGTCGATTGACTGCCAGAATTTGAACTACGAATCTTTCAAAACAAAAGATCTCCAAATCCAGTAGTTAAAGGCAAAAGGTCGAAGCAAATAAATTTATTTGGGCAGAGTTCATTACCAGTGCATGACACAATCCCCAGAGTAAGGTTCAGAAACAAACTCATTCGTCTTGGCGATTCCGTATCTAAGTGAAACGGTCAAACGATCCATGACTCGATAAAATGGAAAGACGTATGCAGTTCTGACAAGCTAAGCGGTGTCTTGCACTAAGCAAGAAATTCTTAGACTGTAAATTGAAGAGACTTGTCCTATGGGGGCAGCTACATTGGCAGAAAAGTGAAGATGGCACGGCAGGGGTATATATGGTAAGTAGAAGCAGAGGATGCGAAAGGTCTCGGTCGCGATCTTGTTGGTTGTTGCTTCTGTTTATGAGGTTATTGATGGGGTGCTGATCTGCATTTCCATACCGTCAGGCCGGCATGCCTTATATTGAAAACAGAGTCAGCAGCAGCAGTACAGTATTCTCCAGTACTTTTCACTCTATGTGGTACTCATCAGTCTGGGGAGCAAAAAAGGTTAGCGTTTCGACCAGCCGCGAAACCGGTATCTTGCGTTTTTGAGTCCAACACTCTACGGGCCAAGTATCCGCGGTCTTTTGTGCTTCTTCTTAGCTTCCATTTGAGTGTTGAGCTGTTACTGAATGAAAACTTTCGGCTAGTTGCTGTTCTGTTGCTGCACTGAGGTAGAGTAAGCACGTTAATTTTCACAAGTGTAAGAGGAATGGGAAAAGAAATAACGAATATAGTATCCTAGTAGCTCGCTGGATATTGGTAAACTGAAGGTTGTTTTGGATAAAGTTCAGATGTTTTCTTAATTTGTTAAGCTTATGTATGTGTATCTGCATTATATATTTGTTCTTAAGGCCTGATATCAACGCGGTTTCTTCAGATCGTTTCATTCGTACTTCGCAATAACGTGAGATATCACACATTTTGTGCTATAAATCACATTGAGTTTAGGGATATATTTATTTTTAAGCAAGTCGGCTTTCGTCCGGCAGAGTGGAAAGTGAAAGTGAGTAATTTTTAAGCTTTAAACGCTGCTAGAATCAAGGGGCGGTGCGTCCATGCCATGCAAATTCAGTTGTAACATAAAATGTTATTTTCTTAGTGGCGGTATCGAAAAACTAGCAGTTTGCTAGTAAACCCTGTAGGGTCGGTGTTTATTTTTAGCTTAGTTGTTTTCGCGTTAACGAAGCGGTACAACTCAGTCGTAGTTGGCAACAAGTGCAAACAATTTATTTAAAGGCTGACATTTGGAAAAGCAGCACATTTTCAGTCATCAGGGCATGTACCAATAAAGTATAATACCAAAAAAAATATTTACTTAAAAACTTGCTTTCTAATTAAGAATACTTAGCTATTTTAATTCATTTTTTGTTTTAGCCAGAGTTCCAAAAAGAATTCTTCAGTGCCGATCCGTGTCGCGAGAGATAAATTTCAGCTCGGAAGAGCAAATGGAAAAATTCAGACTGGAACAACTTATTTACCTGAGGAATCAGGTGATTGAAAGTGAGTTTTTTTATAGATCTTTGAAAAAAATTGTTTTTGCTCATCCGCCAATTTTCACACTGTTATTTTCTTTTCAATTAATGAGACAGTAGATTCAGGAAGTTTTACCATTTTGGTGTGCTCCCAATTAGACGAACTCCACGGACTTCTTTCCCAAAAGCCGGTTTTCTACGTTGTACAAATATCCTATTATCGTTGTACTACAGATTTCTCATTTTTATCAGTCATGATTTTAACGAAGGATATTGGACTCGACTCGAGTTCCACTGTCGGACTCTTTACCGATTGAGCTACCCGTTCTTCATAACCGACTGTCTTTAAAGATTGAAGTTCAATGTTTTATTTGATAGTCAAGTTCAAATTTGTAACGATCCTTTACGCAATAATATGGCATAACAAATCTGCAACTTTACTAGATGTATATTTGCAACGTTTCGGATCATGCGCGTGATTCATCACCAGAGAGCGGCATCAAACAAAAGTTTTGTTACATGGTAGATTTGGTGTGTAATGACACCCGTAAAGGACGTTTTCAATTTTGAACAATGTCGTTCACGAAATAGAGACATCTGGCAAAGCGGTCGGCATGGAACGAACAGATTCGAGTGCTGAGAGAGGAACTAATCTTAGCCGCTAATTTCCTTAGCAAGGACTTTCCCTGCTTCAGTGCAACCAACCGAGAAATTGGTAATAAGTCGTTGATTTCTGATGGTATTCTAAGGTGGTAATACCAGGACTATCAAGATGTACGGTCATACTGTTCAGTACGAGCTCTCCTTATGACTACACTTCGCCATGACCCAGCTGACGGCTGTTGGTGTCAAAAATTAGAAAAAAAGTAGACATGTCTTTGCGATGTATGATGAGTCCTGACTGATATATTTGTATGTCTAATTTAGGCTGGTACTTCGAATTCGGATTCGTTATTCCGAATTCGACGAACACGTGGCAAAGCCTCATCGAAGCA